ACTTTATTATCCTTCAGGTGCTTCTTTTCAGTTCACTAACCACTGCTCAAGCGACCCTCCTCTGGTGACCAAATGCGGCACCCCATAGAGTTTTCCCAACGGCGCACTAAGGTTGCTCAAGGTGGAGATGGATCAAAAGCAAGAGGAAGTTCCCATCAGAAAGTGCCAAAGGGGTACCTTCAATGTCAGATTCCGATAAGTATCGTCGAAATCGAATTGCAGAATGTCATCGTACAGAGCGCTTTCCTCCTCGATAACCGTTCGATCACTTAGAGAATTTGGCATACCAACAGAAAATAGAAGAGTATAGTTAAACTGAAAATATACGCTTTCTTTGTATCCTATTCCTCTTACTCAAAAATGAGCGGAACAACCACTTTGCTTCTCAATTGCCGAGCACCATACGTATTGCGCCATTCAGTTCTTGATTGGTCATCATCTGCCCTCACATGGACAACCACTACGAAGTCGACCTCTGCACAAACGGAAACCCTTGGCACGATGCTGCAGTTGATCGGAGACAGTCGCTGGAACTCAATTATATAGATCTGTGGGTTGTAACAGAAGGAGATAGCAAAAAAATTCTGGGGAACCACCTATGTAGGCCTCTCTTCTCTCTGCCGCTTTGGATGAAATAATTGGACGAGAAAGCTCACGAAAGAGGGACACCGACAATTTTCAGCGGTACTTCATGTGAGCATCTTCAGTTTGTTAGAGAGGGAGGCGGAGGGCGTGGACCACAACAAAACACAATCCCCAATGAATCCTTATCACGCATTCTCAAGTGGGCAGTGGCATAGCTTCTGCGACCTGGCTGCCCCTCAAGCGCCCGGAACGTTTTCGGTTAGCCAACATTGAACTGTGTCTGAAATCATAAACTCGTGAATCATCAGTTCATTATCTGGATTCCGTGATAATCGGTACAGCTCGTACTACAACTATTGCGTTGTTTGAGGTGCTTGAAGTTAATGAGTGAAACTCACTGTATCTGTGAAAGGTTGTTTCATATACAGCCGCCACATCTGCAGATTTACGCTTTCCACCGCCATTTGTGGAGAGTACCACTCATCAAGGATCGATGTTGACTGTCTGCTTGAAGAGCTCGATCAGTTCTGTCACTACTTCTGCTCTCTGATAGAAAATGGGGTTAGTACAGTCACGAAACACGGAAAAATGGCCGCAGGAGGGCAGCC